TTCCACTGTCTTTCCTCCTCCCACCTGACAGCACTGAAGAGTGTCACCTTTTTGATAACTTGTAGGTACTGGGAGGCTGCTCTTAAGTGTTGCCCCCATAAGCTGTCTTTGCTCCAAGCTGAACACACCTCAGTACCTCAGGTGCTCTAACCCTCAGCCACTGCAGTGACCCTGTGCTCAACTCATTCTGGTTTTTTGATATCTTTCCTGGTGGATACTAAGCTTGTACAGTAGTCTAGATGCAGTCTAAGGACTGATGAATAGAAGGGAATCCTTCCATCAGTAGCAGAATCTCCTGGCTATGTTTCTTCTTGTACCACCCAGGAGCCTGTTGTCCTTCCCTGCTGTCAGGATACAGTGCTGGCTTACATTTGGCAAGGAGTGCAGAAGGAGCATTTCTGCCACTGGCAGTACAGCAAACACAGCCAGCTCTGCCACAAGCCCAGGATCCCCAGGCATGTCTCTCTTTTTCCATGTAGTAGTTGAGCTGGGGCAGAATTTGAAGATTTTAATAAGCCTTTCTACAACCCCTGCTGCAGCAACCTTTGCTGCCATACATCCAGAAGTTCCTAGCACTTCATCTGCAGCAGTTGTGTCTTCAATGTGTGCTGACCAATTCTCCAACCATGTTCAGTGACTAAGAAGCGTCAGACTTGGTGTATATGGTGCACAGCTCCAGTGTACCGCTAACACTTCAGAAGAACCATATAGTAGCAAATCTGTGCAACAAATAAACATATATTTATCTCATGAACACCCCAAAAGAAATACAGTAACTGTAGATGTTAGCAAAATGATCTGTATGGAAAGGGTAAGGGATGGCCTGCTTGTCAAAGGTCTGATACATAGCAAATATTGTGGCATCCACAACTGTCTTTTAAGTAATTGATTGTCGTCAAGAGTGGAGAGATTGATGTCTTTTTCATCAACTCTAACATACAAGTTATTACACAGTGCTGAGTGGTCACAACCCCACTGGGAACCAACATCTTGCAAAATTGCTCATTATTCTCTTGAGCATGAAAAACCTCAGCCAGAAGAGATTAATCAAACTTGCACACCTGGCTTCACACAGTTTGTGTCTTTTCAGTTATGAGTGCTTTGTGCAATGATTTAATACTCTGGTAATGTTTCACTGAGAAGACACATCATAGATTCCTTGTTCTTATTTCCCCTGTCCAGCTCCTTACTCATCTACTGATGCCCACGTCTGATGTATATTCTGTGCAGGAAACAATAATTGTTACTACCACTGGTTCATAAATCATGTACATTGTGAAGCTAAAACAGAGGAAAGAACCGTAAAATTCGGTCGCCTCACTCTTACATGCAGGGAGAAGTTTTTCTGTCCTTTAGTGTAGATGATGGTAGCACAGTTTCCAACAGCATGCCCAGAGCCCATGGATTTGGGCAAGGCCCCACTTGTTCAGCGTAGTCACTGATGAGACCACATATTATAATTTGCAGTACCAAGGTCTCCATTACTGGTGTCAATGAAGATACAGTTACATTTCCCAGCAAATGGATTGAACTGTCTTCCCATTATAGTCATTCTCCTTTTATAATATTTTATTTAAACAAAGTAGAATTATCCTGAAGGTGAAGGGCAGACAAGTAGACTTAATGCCTCTGGTCATTTCCAAGAGTCTGTTTTGGTATTAGGACCATATTCAGACAAGCTCCAGAACCTGGGCGTAACACAGTCAGCCTGAATGAGGACATTAAAAATAAAAAGCAAGATTTTGGGCAGGTGTCCAGTGGAGTCACCCAGCACTGGTACCATTGAAAACATGTTGATGTGAAGCATTTGTTTAAGTGGAAACTGAAGGTCCATACCTTTTCTTGTGCAGAGTCAAACCAGAGTGTGTGCATCTGATTCATGATGGAACGATATGGCTGCTCAGGATAATTAAGCCAGACTCATTCTGTGCAATTCCAGAGCTGCAGTGCCTGTGCCACAGCTCTACTGCATGAATACTTGCATGAGAAAATAAATTTTCACCGTATTTAGAAGAAGGAAGGATTCCTTTTTGCTTTATACCTGAACTATTTGCCTTGTCATGCTCACTTCCAACATACAATATTGCTCTGATCTTCATGATCACAAAAAGCAGAAAACTCAAATGATACTTCCAGTTATTCTTTTGTCAAATGACAGAGGTGCCTGCAGTTGGAATCTCTTTGAATTCACTGTTAAGGATGGCTGCCACGGAGTGATGGGGCATCCAGGCACAGGCACTGTCAGATGAAGACTTTATTTGAGATATTGCAGAAAAGGATCTTAAACCAACCTGTATTTGTCAAAATGGAAGTGTAGATCTCAGTGTAGTCTTTGTAATTCAGGACAAGCTCTAAAAGTAAAATTGCCTGAAGCATAAATGTGTGAAAAAAAACCCCACTTTTTTTACTACAAATCCCATAGAAGCTTTATTCTCAGGGCTCTATACAATTTATTCTTTCTGTTATTTACCTTTAATTAAAGTGTGTGTTCTTTTATGCAAGATACACAGAGAAAATGTGTGCAAATAACATGTTTGTAAGAAAAACAAGGTGACTTTAAGACCTTTGTGTGCTTGAATAGAAAATCCTGAATGTGGTTTGGTTTAGTTTGTTGGGGGTTTTTTTGTTATTTTACTGCATGAGTTAAATTTCAGCCTTGGTAGAGCCATCAGAAGAATTTTTGCCTGCAAGAGACAACATGTTAAGTGGATTTATATTACATTGAAAGGCAAAAGACTTGGATTCTACTCTCTATAGCTCTTCCACTCTGCAATGTGGAAAGGCCACTTTTTCTCCATGCTCCTACATCATGGTGTAACCCCAGCCTGCAGCCGAGCCCCACTCACTCACTCCCCCACCAGTGGGATCAGGGAGAGAATCAGAAGGATAACAGTGAGAAAATGAATGAGTTGAGATAAAGACAGTTCAGCAGGGAAACAAAAGCCATGCACACAAGCAAAGCAAAACAAGGAATTAGTTCACTGGTTCCCATGGGAAGGCAGGTGTTCAGGCATCTCCAGGAGGGCAGGGCCCCATCATCACATGTAATGGCTACTTGGGAAGACAAACGCCACCACTCCAAACATCCCCTCCTTCCTCCTTCATACCTTCACTTTATGTGCTGATTCCAGACCATATGATGCCATATGATCTGGAATATCCCTTTGCTCACTTAGGATCACCTGTCCTGGCTTCCCATGCATCCCAGTTTTCCTCCACTGTGTTGCAGTACAAAAGGCAGAAAAGGCATTGGCTCTGTGCAAGCCCTGCTCAGCAATAGCAAAAACATCTCTATATTATCAACTCAAACTTTGTTCAGCACAAATACAAAACAGCCCCATATGAGACACTGTGAAGAAAATTAACTCTACCCCACCCAAAACCAGCACACAGTATTTCATCTTTGCACTCCCTTGAACCCCTGTGTTGTTAGCCTATAAACACTCTGGAGGGAGGAAAGGCTTACACTGTCAATGTGTTGTTCCTAGCATAGGAAAACCACTAATATCAAGTGGATGCTGTGGAAGATGTGACTAGCACTAAAGTAACTCAAGAGACATATCTGAACTTAGCTCATGGTCTTTTTTCACCTTACAATCTGTAATAATTTTCAAGAAGTGTTACTGCTTGCTAGTCCTGATATCAACCTTGTGTACCCTGGCTATTAGATATGGATAGAAGTCCAGGCAATACCCAGAACAAGCCACGAAGAAGGAAAGAATGAAGGGAATGGAGGGAAGGATAGTTTAAACCAAAAAGAACCAGTTTGTATAGTCTGGAAAAGGACTATAGAAATCTGATAGCATTCAGAATAGTGATGACCTTTGGAGGGCAGCATCTAACTCCCAAGCTTCTTCAGGTCAAAAGAAGATTCTGGCCCTGCAATTCCCTTACCATGTTGTAGCAAGAGGAGTGGACAGAAGCAGCAAGAGACCAAAGGTCATGCAAGCCTCGCCCACAGAGCTATAGTGCAGAGACAAATATGTGCAGTGTTTCAGGCTGTAAAGGGCCGGCCTTCCTCCTAGGGACAAACAGAGATGTTGATCACAATGTATATATTTTCTCTCTCTTTCACTCTTAGCTTGGTTTGTGACCATTTCCCCCATCCAGCTTGGCAACTACTAGCCCTCATGTTACTTCTTTTCCCTTCTGAAAATGTTTCACAATGCAACTCCAAAAATCTCCATTCTACAGTTGAGTTCTGGAAGTGAGGTTTGCTTGTGGACCTCTCACTGATTTCTCATTGAAGTCAGTGAAGTCTTTTCCTGGATGATCAACTATGGGTTTCAGTGAATATTTTACGTAGAGTTAAAAAGGTAAAATTCAGTGCTTGAGTCAGGAGAAAAATGCCTGCCACTTCTGTAAAAGAATTCATTAGTCCTAACAATCTAGTGCCCTTCAACTTTTCTCCTCATGTACCTGTCCTGTTTAGTATTCAAACCTTATTTCTTTTCTCTTTTGTCCTATAATGTAATTTTTTACACAAGATGTTTTGCACATTACAAAGGTGTAAGAAGTGTGACTTGTAGTAATTGTACTGCAGTGGCTGAGATGGATCAGGAATCCCTGAGCTTTTACTCTGGCAGTGATGGTGGTGAGTCATCCTGTAACTTCAGACACTGAATTGCTCTCATCCTAATTGCTCTCCCACTATTTGTGTTCCTGTTGAGTGGAAGAAGTTGCATCTACCTCACAGGGCTATTTTGGAGGATTAGGGCTTTAAAGTGTGCCACAAGCCTTGTTAAGTATTACTTAATGTGCTTATTAAGGGGCATGCACAGCCCTGGGATGTTTTTTTGTGGGACTCGGGAGTGCTGCAAAACAACAGTGTTTTTTCTGGAGACCGTGCTGAGCATACAGTAGGAGCTGTCTGTCACAACAGGGAAGGTGTGCACTCTCCTGTGTTGAGTAGCAACCTCGGTACCTGCTCACCCAGGCAGATACTCTCATCTTCTTACTGACATGAAAATTAACACCAGTGCTCTCTTTCTTTCTTTCAGATCCTGGCGCTCCTGTGAAACTGCCTTGTATGCCAGTTAAACTGTCACCTCCACTACCTCCAAAGAAAGTCATGATTTGCATGCCTTTAGGGGGGCCAGACCTCTCTCTCTCATCCTATTCCACGCAGAAGAGCTCCCAGCAGCCTTTGACCCAGCAGCATCACACTGTCCTGCCATCCCAGTTAGCAGCTCACCAGCACCAGCTCCAGTACGGCAGCCACAGCCAGCACCTTCCTTCTGGGTCCAGCACGTTGCCCATTCACCCTTCAGGGTGCCGGATGATCGAGGAACTGAACAAAACGCTAGCCATGACCATGCACAGGCTAGAAAGGTAATGGATCAGCTTTTAACATTCCATACTGGTGTGCACTGTCTCCTGCTAACCTCAGCATCCTCAGCATCAAGCATATCATCGCTTGAGTTGCCTTCGTAGGACTTGAATGAGGTGTCTCCTCTGGGGTCTAACAACTTCAGGGCAGAGTCATTTCTGGAGAAACAGAAGCAGAGGAAGAGCCTTTCCAGACTTGTTTGACAAGTTTGTGGCAGAAAGGAAACAAAGATAAATTTCCTGAACCCCATTGTCCTGTTCAAGGAAGTAGATAATACAGGAATGGAGATTTTAATAGAACATGCCTGGCTTGCAGTATGTACTGCTGAGGCAAAACTGCAGAGCTCCAGTTGTGTGGAGGATTGCTAAATGCAAGGAGAGGAAGATTCATAAAAGAGTAATTAGAATTCAATGCACCACTCCAGCAGGGCATCTGATTAGTATTAGCAATTAGCTCGAAACAATCTATGTGGACTTCCTACACTTAGAAGGGTTTTAATACAGTATTTAGATTACTTAAATTAATTTAAATTAAATTTTGTGTTTGATCTTAAAATAAGTATTTAACTCATTCCACAGCAGCTACCTTCTTAGCTATTTGCATCTGGCAAGAGGTAGAACATTTGATCAGAAATTCCTTACCCACCTTGGGGCTGTTTTTTGTTATTGTCACTTATGAGTATCACTGAGTGTTTCTCCAAGTAGTCTGAGTAAGTGGAGCATGTTGTATAAATGCAAGCTGCCCTCACAGACTGCAACATCAGCAAGCTTTGGAAAATTTATTTCACGTTGTAGAGGAAAGCTGAAAAAGTCCCAGAACAGGGAAGATGGATGAAAAATTACATGTTTTATTTAGTACCAAGGACAGCTTTGTAGCCAGCTTGTTCTAGGAGCATCAGATCATACTGTTATACAGGAAGGCAAAATATTTGGTCTAACAGACAAAATGCTTAATGATTTACCCCATTACTTCTGTCTGATAACACCACCTTCATTATATTCCATAGCTGGAAACAACTGGATTATTGATGGCAGTTTCTCCTTACTGCCTGAAAAAGAGTCAGGAGACCAGAGGCTGTCTCACACTGCCAGCTTATTTTAGTACCAGAATAGAGACACATCTGTGATTACATCATGGGGCTAATGTTTCTACAGCATGGGGGAATTATCAGCTGGGGAAAAACTACTAGGGCTATGAAGGAGATTCTTATTCCTGTCTGTGAAAGAGCTGTAGAGGTAGGATAGAAAGAGCATCCACATTGTCCCCTACTGCCCTACCCAGTGACTACCCATTTACCTCTCACATTGCCAGCCTGGCTGGTCTGGTGCCTCTACACCATCCCAAAATTCAGTGCACCAGGCACAGTGCATAGCTGTTGTCTGCCAAAGGCTCCTTTGGGGCTGCACTGCCCATGCCATCCCCAGCTTAAGCTGGATGTCCTAATGTCTGGCTCACACTGTGTGCAGAAGGCCCTTTGTTTTCCTGAGCCCACTGACATCTCTCAGAGTATGACTTCATTGTGGCATCTGTTGCCCCACAGCAACGAATGCTCCAGTTTCTAGTCATCCATCATGTTTATGTCTACAAATAAGTTTAAGTGATTTAAAGAAGGTGATGCTGTTTGGGTTTAACTGTTAATTTGAAGCTGAAGCTCTGCTGCTTGTTAAAAACTGAATAAGCAAGCATTCATGTCCCATTGTGAAGCAATTGTTTCCCTTTGCAATATAATAAGAAGAAAATAAGAAAAGGTTGTGGTATACTGATATTTCACATTTAAAATTAATACAAATCCTAGTTCATGTTAATGCAGACAGATTTTTCATAGCCTTTTTTATGTTGATTAACTGTTAGTTAAATAATGGATTAATATATTGAGTACCTTCTTTGTGCTCCTTGTCAAAGCAAATCAATAACTTCTGCATTCACAAGGGAGAAAATAGGTCATCATAATTTCCTCTGCAACAGCAATTGTTGTTTTTGTAGTATATAGAGGTAAAAGTATGTCAAACCATTTACAGTTCTGTGGAGCAGATCTTGCTCTTAAATTCTTCATTTGCTTTTGTCAAGCCACATTGTGATCTAGATAAATTTGCCAAGTTTGCTTGAAGATTTTTGCAGATTTTTAAAATATATTTATTTAACTTGGGAGGCAATTATTTGCACCAAATGCCACTGTATTCTACTATTTTCGACAGTACTTACTTTCCCTTCTTGTAAAAATCTGCATTAAACCCCAGAGAAATAATACTGAAGCATTTGTCATTGCATGCTTCAGCCCAAAACTCTTGAGGGCCTGTTAAAACTGCAAAGATCCTAGATCTCCTTCCTCTGTTCAGAGCTTGGTAGTGTGCTCACATCTGTAGCATGCACAGGACATGGACTGACATTCTGCACTTTGCTGCTCCTTGCAGCTTAGCAAAGTACTGGGCCACTACTGTTGGGTCAATAAACCTGAGGAGATGAGAGAGCCTGATAAGTCTCTGAGGCAGCCTCTGGTGAATACTAAGGGGTTTTTCCTTCTGATCTCAGACATTATCTCAAAAGTATCTTACGACTTTACAGAATAATTGCCATGGTGCTGCAGTAATAATGCTGACAAATCTGGTAATTTGGGGGATTTTTTAGAATAGTGTTTTGATTTTAATAAGAGATTATCATATAGACAAGCACAGATCAGGTTTCAGCTCTAATTTTTTTCTTTTCCTTCTGGAATTTTTCCTTTTCTTCCTTGTATCTAGTTTCTTTGGTCCTGGTGGAAGCTCTTCAAGGTCATTTAGGCTCTAACGATATTTGGTGAATAAGTTTGTATCAAATTCAAATTTTGTCCAGTAAACTTCTTAGACCTTACAACTCTCCTGTTCACCAGGTGTCTGAGTGTGCACATGAACAAAAATGAAGGGCTAAAATCTTCCCATCCTCTGGCAATCTGGACTTTTTGCTTACACAGATAAGATCTCTGGAATTCAGATAGTCTAACAACATCTGAAGAATGATAGTTGAAATCAGTGCTTTGCCAGTGAGCCACAGGCTTGCCAGAGAAAAATGAGCCTTCCCTCTGTACAGACCTGGAAGCCAGATTTTTCTGTCTTTGACCTTGAGAAAGTTACTGAGTCTCTCTGTCTCTATTTTCCCCTCTGCAGGAGTGATTACATGTAGCTGCCTCACCTAGATCTAGTACATATTAATAAGTTAATGTCTTAAGGTACATTAAAAGGCATGCAATAGCTATTCAAGTCCCAATTGTTCTTATGACTTAAAATGGGAGCTAATTCCTGGATTTTTTTTATTAAATTTTATTACAGACATTATAGAACATTTAAGTTCATTTGTGCACTTAACGCTTTTGATTGCAAACATTTTCTGGTACTCATAATATCTATTCATAACCTATTCTCAGGAGGGCAATCTGCCTCTTGTCATAGTTTGACTATTATGACATGTCATTTCTGCTGCCAGTTTGCATCTATTTTCCCTGATAAATTACCAGTTTTATGGTAGATAAAGTTGAAACAGAGAAATGTGTAATTTCCATGTAAGCTTTTTTCTGCCACCTCTGCTAATTTGTGTCTCACTGCAAATGACTTTCCCCTTCACAAAGGGTGTTTGTCAAGCATAAGTAAAACTCTAGATTTGGACATCATTTTTTACCATTGCATTTTAAGAGTTGATGAAAATCTGGTAAGCCCTGCCACCAAAATATGCAGATTTCATCCTCCTAACCAAAATGAATTTGAGAAGAAAGACCATGCCCCAAAGCTGTGCATCACAGAGTGGCTAAGGAAGCTTTAGAGACTCTCTTGTGACACCAAAATGTGCCTTTAATTTTGACTTAGTGAGGCAGTTTCTTTATCTGAAACAGCCAGATTTTCTGCCTTGTCTGTAGAATTCTCAGCCTGTCTGGAAAGGTGACAATTAATTTCATTTACTCTGTGGGCTCATGTACAGGAGCAGGCACAGATGAATCCACACCTCAGTTTGTTCAGTGTATGTACTAAAGAGCTGTTAAGTGGCAATATCTCACTCCAGGCTAGAATTGCCTCTGTGGCAGAACAGTGAAAAATCACTGTGTCCAAAAAGACTGTGTGTGAGACCAGTTCCTCTGGGACACCCAGCTCAGCTTCAGACTGTAGATTTATGAAATGAAATGCATCAGGCATTACCAGTGTCTTGTAAATCTTATGAAACATATTTGAGTCAGAAAACATTTATCTTCCATAAAACTTGTCAAGAGAATTGCATCTTGTCTAAACTTTAGCATTGCCTAAGGATAGAAATACTTAATATTTATAGCTCTGCCTTCTCTCTGTTTCTCACACACATTCCTGTAGTAGAAATGTATATACAGTGGTTTGAAGTTCTTTCAGACCTTTTGTTTCAACTGGTAAGTATATAAAAGTACTGTGGATCTGAAAACATTCTGATAAAAATGTAATCCTCTATTCCAAAATCAAAGGGCCTGGCATGACAGACAAGAAGTGTGCAGGTTTTTCCCACTAGATTTTACAGGAAGTATTTCACTTTTTTTTCTTTTTTTTTTATTTTGTCTCTACCATGAGTTACTCATATGCTTAAACTGTGATTTTTCATTGAAGTATTTTCTCTCTAGAACCATTGTAAGCTATAGTGGTGTAACTTTTTTTCTGTTTTCATCATATACAGATGATGCAGCAGAAACTGCAAGTTCTCATACTAGGGAGCCATGAATTGTTCACATCGATGCGTTAAGATCTTCTTAAAACAAGTACTTGCTTAACTGTAGCTTTTCCCTCTAATTTTGTTGCAAAACACAAAACAGGTTTAAAATGGGCTTTTTGAAACAATAGTGTGCTTTTTAGTGAATAAAGCTAAAAATTTTTGTGGTGTAGTCACCTGACTATGTGGGAGTTTGCTAATGACCCGGAGTCATTTTTACACAATGGACATATCCAGTGACCTTGATTTGTCTTTTTTAAGTATACTGCAGTACTGCATGTATTTCATAAGCACTTTGCTTAGACAGCTGACTTAGTCAAATTGCTGTGGAAAGGGCTGATTTTAATCAAGAACAACACAAAACACTAGGAAAAATGAGGGGCTTAAAATAGAAAGTAGTATTATCAAGAAAGGGGATGACTCAGAAAGCTTACAATGAGATGAAAAGCTGCCTATTTTGAGATCACTAGTTCAAATAAAAACCCTCTGTGGTAACTTGTAAATCTTGTTGCCATCCTATATCTGCTCGATATCCTAAACTGATGGATCAGTTTGATGTTTGCTACCCATAAGGGGACACACCCATAAGGATGCATCCATAAGCTACATCCATCCTTCACAGAACAGGGAAGCACCAAATAGTCCTGGATGCTGAACTACTTCTTGCTCCTTTCATTTATGCTTACTCTCTGTGTATGTATTGTTTTAAAATTAAATGAATGATCCAGTGGTTGCATGGTGCAATTGGAAGGTTCTGGGTATTTTTTTAGCAATGTTAACAGAATTTCACAATATTATGGTTTTTCTCAGAAATTTGATTGCAGATTTTTCCTTTCCTCTTTAAAAGACTTACTCAAAAATTAGCTTACAGAGAAAACAGATTTAATGAGGTTCATAATATAAAACTTCTGAAAGCATTTCAGTAAATGAAAAGTTAGTTCAAACTTCTTAAAGACTGTAGTGTGTTGATGTGTCATTATGAGAATTCAGCTGACAAATTCTAAAACTGCATTTGTGATAAAGTTTTTTTGTGTCAAAATCATTGAAGTCTGATACAAAAATTTGCAAGCCAGTTCTTCATGAATCTGTCTTACTTTGTGATACAAAGCATGGGCTATCACTAAGAAAATTGAGTTTATATCTTCAAGGTATCTAGTAAAGCTCTGCATCTCATTATTGGTTAGTCTGCAATAATACATGTTGGAATTAAAAAATTATTTCTTTGAAACTGAAGATGATGATAACAGCATGGTATGGTTTTTTCACAGGATCTGAAGCCTTTTCTTCTCTTTAATCCCTAACCATATTTGGAGTAGCATTATATCCCTAGAACTACATTTTTAAAATGGAATGTTATCTGGCAGCAATTTAAGAGCCCATTCTTCTAACTTTTGGGTTAGAAGAAAGCAAAATGTTTCAAGTTGAAAATAGTAGATTCGGTAGATTTCTGTAGAAAATCTTTTAAAGAGAATAATGCATTTTGTTCAAGATGCAGAACACCTCTGGTATTCAGGCTGAAATATTCAAAGGAATTGATGGCACTCAATACTTGTTAGATACAATTTTGTGTGCCTCAGGGTCAACTTGGCCAGTACATCTGCTTTCACACCTATGTTCTTCTGAAAAGTAAAATGGGAGTTTGACATAGAGAGGGTGTCCCACAGGCAAATGTTTCCCACTTTTCACAGAGCTGTTGCATCAGCCAGGACTTCAGAGAGAGAGCAGTTTCTGCTGTCTCACAAATAATCTTGTGCTGCCACCATTTTTGCCTGCCAGTCTCTCATTCTGATTTCATACTGGAAAAGCAACATGAGCTAGATAAAAACTGGTTGGGATACATGCTTCTGTTCCTGACTTTTTCTTTGACTTTGATCTTCACCTCCTCATGTTCCCATTTCCCTACTTGATATGTTATTTGGTAAAGGGCTTTGAATTCAACACATAAACAAAGCTAGATAGTGGCAGTCCTCACCACAGATCTTAATCTTATAAGATGCTGAAAATAATCACTCATACCTGTGACAAAAGAAATATGATGTTAGCGCCAATTCTGATTGATCCTCAGTGCCTGGCTGGATAAAGAGCTGGGGCAGGACAAGGCAAGACATATCATCATGTCCACCCCATAATATATAACTGTGCCATTAACAAAGAAGCCCCCCAGGTTTTAGGTTCTTCCCTGGTTACTTTCACCTGCTCCCAAAGTCTCATTTATCCAAGCCCAGTTTCACATGCTCGCTCCCCTGCACGTCAAAGAGTTGTGCGCTTGCCATCCCCTCAAGTCACTCATCACTAGTGCAAACCACTAGTTTTCCCTCTGTCTTTCTTCAGTTATCTCCTACAGTCCATCCTTCCTTCCTCCCAGTCTTACTCCACCTGTTGCTCTCAGGTGTGGTATTTTCTCCTTGCTGCCTGCAAACCAGCGAAAAGGTCACACAGACAACAGGCTAAAGGTGTGCTTACCACTGAGTAGCTGGTGCTTACTACTCTGATTAGCTGCTGGTCACTAAGTATTTGCCACAAATCTTTAGTGCTTTGTCCTGGCTGACAGTATTTCTGCTTGCATGCTGTCCTAACTGTCCCTTTTAAGTGTTGTACCCTAAATCTAATAAGCCTTGCTGGTCTTGAAAATCTTTCTGTTGTCATTTCTTCTGTTCTCATTTCTTCTCAAAAAGGGATGAAAGACCACTACTTTCCTATATACAGTGAGAGAAGCAACTCTGCCCTTCATTGAGCTGTTTCCTTTAGTTTAGTTATTTGCTTTTCTTTCCCAACAGCTCTGGTTTACACACAAGTGACAGTGTTACAAAAACAGGACCTGGGGGCCTTCCAGACATGAGACAAGTGCCAACTGTTGTGATCGAATGCGATGACAATAAAGAAAATGTGCCTCACGAAAATGACTATGAAGATTCTTCCTGCCTTTATCCAAGGCAGGAAGAGGAAGAAGAGGAAGATGAAGAGGAGGATAACTCATTATTTACAAGTAAGACTCATTCCATTTTTCCTTTCTCACTTATTTAATTTTTACTCTGAACTCACAATACACAGTGGAAACACAAGGCCTGTGTATTTTCTTTCTTGGCTGTGGCTTTTTCATCTCTCAGGGCTTGACTATATGGGGATGCTAATCCAAAATAACAAACAATATAAATTTATACTGATTTCACTAATATTTATGAATGTCTGTCTCAGTCGTGCTCAGACTAAATTCAAATGACAGGTTTAGGCTTATATTGGCTCAGTTACAAACTGGCTTTTGGATTTGCTTTCCCAAATGCCCTTTGTGAATAGAAGCCCTGCCTTTGGCTTAAGTAAAGATCATCCCAGTAGTTGCTTCAGGAGGATGAAATAACTGCCACACATAGAGAATCAGAGCTTTTATATATAGTCAGTTTTAAATCATTTTGGAATCATAAATGTGCACATGCTTTGAAAGGGTCACAATCAGAGGATTGAGCTGTGATAAGAAGAGGTTAATCAATAGCCATATCACAATTCCAGACTGAGAAAGGACCTGTGGCCTTCCTGACTTCTGTAAGGAAACCCAATTCCTGCCTCAGTGCGGCATCATAGGACTGTGCCATGAAGAAAAGATACAGTGCTTTGTGTATGACAGCTGCTTGTCATCCTAGACATTGAAGTTCCAGGCCCTTGCCTCTCTTTTCTTCTGAAAACTGGAAGCAGTACAATCAAACAACATCCCTTTTAAAACGCACAGAAATAAGATTCTAAAACAGGCATATTTCATCTCCTCAGCACCCCACCTTGCCCTGCAAGTGAAATTAAGCAGTGTTTGCTCTTATGCTAGAAACAGAACAGAACTGCACTATCTCACACTCTCCTGACAAACTCTCATGTGTTCGTGTCTCTCTGTGTCTGTCTTCCTTGTTCAAACTGCTTTGGACACAAGCCTAAGAAAGCAAATTTGAGCCATAAGAGGCCACTGGTTTTTAGTGTCTTTGCCGCTGCCACTGCCCAGGAAGCAGTCAATGTGCATAAAGATATGTGCTGCTTCTGACTGACTCATGATTCCTTCTAGTGCTGGCTTGGATGTCTTGATATTACATTGCAAGAGACATTCAGGTACTCCTTTTTCACATGCTGTAGCTCTGCTGCCTGCCCAGATTCTGAGGTTGAATTTTTCATTCTATTTTCATTCTGTGTGGAAATACTATGTTAGAAAAAGCTACAGATGCTACTACCAATTCTGAAACAAGCCCTTCTTCTCCATTCCCCTCTATGGAGCAATATATTAATTTCTATTTCCTCTATATCTACAAATTTCAGCTTTTCCTTATTATGATAGGAATTGAGATTAACTGAGCACATACAGTTAATGACACCCCTTTTCCCATGGTCCATACCAGTGTAAAGGAGAACCTCATATCCTCCCTTGGCTAGTACTTCTTTGCCAGGTGCATGCTGTAATGAAATGATGACACCTCTTTTGGCAGAACCTCTCCTCTCTCCTACAGGCCCTCTGGCAAGGAAACTCTGCAGGAAGGACTCTTTAGCAATCAAACTGAGCAACAGGCCTTCCAAGCGAGAGCTGGAGGAAAAGAACATCCTCCCCATGCAGACTGATGAAGAGAGGCTTGAACTTAGGCAGCAGATTGGGACAAAGCTAACAAGGTAAGAGAAAAACATTTTTTAACTCTTGCTTTTGGAATTATATGGTGGGATATAGTTTTTTTCCTTAGTCTTTAAATATTTGAGATCTGTTTGGTTACAATGTTCAAGAGCAAAAGCCATGGAGAGGCAAAATGGTTCTATACATTATTTCTGGTCCAATAAATCTTCCCATATAACTTCCCGTTTCATTTTCCTGGCATGTGCTATGGGAACTTTGGTTAATTATCAGATGAGCTACATGAATTTGGTTCTTGTTGGCACATCATTTGAAAATGTTCAGCTTTGAAAACGTTTCAGACTGTAGCTGTAGGTGCCTTTTTATGAGCTATTTGTTTGGCCAAAGGTCAGAGGTATAACTTTCTCTTCTGATTGTATCTCCTGTGAGTAACTGAGACTTTTGCTGGTGCAAAATAGGTTAAGTCCTTCAGTACTTGCCTTCATTGGGTCAGGTTGGACAGATTTACCCTGTCTAGACACCTTCTTCTTCATAACAGTGTTACTCACCAGCTGTTCTGGTTTTCTGTATTGAATGGGCTGTAAAGGGGTGGGCATTAAATGTGGAGGATTTCTGACAAGAATGAGTAAACTGAGGTCAGACAGAACTGTTTAAGAACCTTCTTTGTGCATGCCATGATTTCTGTAATCAATTGAATCCTCTTATGTTATCAAATTGGTGGCACTCAGAGCTGGTGAATGCTGTTAGTTGCTCTCCAGTGAGAAAACCACAAGGAGATAACCAGCCAGTTGTTGGGAATTTTCTTGCACATTTTCATTTTTTTAATGAAAATTTCAGGGAAAATTTTCAGGGGAAACACTGCTACCATGTTTTGGAGACAGGAAAAATAGGAGCTCCTGGTAAATACTACTTTCAGCATTTTATTTACTTTTCTTTCATGGCCTTGTTTATCACCTCCTTGGAATAAACTCACCTTTCCAAACTGTCTTTGAAAGTTTTTGTACGGAGTCATGCTCAGCCTCCTCCAAAACCTGTCCAATTTTTCTGTATTCTTGTTGAGGGGCTTCAGCAAACATGCCCAAGATATGTAAGATGGTGCTGCTCTGTTGCTGGTACTGTGATTTTTTTCAGTTCAGTCTTTATTCAGCTTTATTCCAACCTTGTTAGACTGTAGCTGCACTGGAGCTCTGGGTCCCACAGATCAGCACAGGACAGCAAGGTCCCAGTGATTATATGATTCAATTTGAACCCTTTTGAAGCATCTGAAGAATTTTTGTCTCTCACTGCTTGACCTTGCCATGACATTGAACAGCATTTCCACTGTGTTGTCCGTTTGCCGAAATTACTTAGGTCCTTCTGAAGTTTTCCAGCTATGGCTGATGAAGGAAAATAGTGTCATTTAGAAACACTGGTTCTTCACAGCTCACTGTGCACCAGATCTTTTTCATTATAAGTATTTTATTTTTCACCTTTGCAAAACCTGCTTTTTTCCTTGCTAAACAGTATTTTTTTCAGCAAATGCCTTTTTAACAAAGGAAACTATTTTTGGCCATATGCAAAGCCCTTCCTGTGTAAGCCCCATATTCTCATAATGTTGTCTTTTGTTTCCCCAATTGTATCTCTGCTAATCTGAGTTTAATAGCTTGAGCTATAATGCCTGATCTTGTCTTCTAGTATAGCTAGGACTTAGGGGCAATCACAAATCGTTCAAATAACTAAAACTGTGTATATATGAGTTCAAAAAATAGCTGAGCTGAATGAAACTGCTGTTTCATTCTGCTTTATATCAGTGTAACATCACTGAAAATGGTAGAATTTCACAAGCTTTAACTAGAGTGACAAAGTCTATGTCTTTAATTACTACTATTTACAACTTACTGTCTCATCCTTTTGAGTAGTTGAAAAAAATGAAGAAATATGAGGAGGGAACTATTTTGCTCATATCTAATATGTAAGAAACTACAGGCATTTCAGCAGCAAAAATGAAAGGTGGTTGTCTTACCAGTGTTCTATATCTAAATGTGATATATCCATGTGCACAAACTGATGAATATTAGACTAAAATAGAAGGAATATTTCAATTTGGACAATATTTCCTTACTGACCAGACTTTATTACTGAATCCATCCTTTGCTGTTGCTTGGTAATTGTCACACAGTGATGCAAATGCCAAGCAAAATTAAAGTAGTGAAGCATTTATAGTCCTTAGAGAAGATGCTAGATGCAGACTATAATTGCAGCTGGCAATTTTGGATTTCAGAGGGATTTGTACTGCTCCACCAATGGTCCCCTAGGGTTTAAAATATCCAGCCAATCAAATCACATATGCTACTTACAGAAGTAAAAAATGCAGAATAAAAACTTCAGCATATAGTTATTGTCTGTAATGGATCAATTAATTTTCACCAAGAGGCTGATTAGGGTACTTCAGTATTTATGCATAATCCTCACAGTATTTAGTTTGGAAGAGCTCATTGGCTGCCACATTTGGCAGATCAGAATTTAGTACTATAAAGAGAATGTCTTTTTCCAAGATGCCTCTATCCAGGCATATTGAGATTGGCCATTGACATATTGTGTGGGACCAAAATCATCCCAGGTGCAGTTCCTCCAGCCTTATTAGAGTTGCACCAGGAATCAATTTGGCTCACAAAGGTCTGTTCAGATCGTGTTTAAATGTAACTTGGAACCTCTGAACCTCCTGTTATTCCCAGAAAATTGTTATGACTTCAGTGCTACATCAGCCAACTGGAAGAGAGACTCCAGAGCAGAATTCACTGTTTTCCCATGCTGGGAGAATAGTGCCTTGAGTTAGACCAGGCCAGCTGTAAGGGTGAGGCTGCAGGGACTGTATCTTATAGCAGGACCTGGCCCACTACACACCTTGTTGTTCTCTGAGCCATGAGACAAATTCTTTGTGCCTGTCATAAAACACTTTGCATGAGTGTCGTGCTTCCCTGGTCTGTACCCTGTATCATGGCTCAGCACATGCAGACCCCAGCAAAAATGGGGCTTCTTGCCCAAGGTGGCAAAATATGTCATAGCAAAGGCAGGAGATTCCACATGAACAGGCCACATGAACAGGCCAGTGCACCATAAACCATTTCTGAGGAGTCCTTACATAGCAATTATGGCAATTGATTACAGCAATTAATTAGAAGACCTCTTCCTTTAACCAGACCAGAATGGATTGCTCTAAAATGTGACATCTCCTATGAAACAAGAAGCAAAAATAGTGAATTAAGATGCAGAACTCTCAGCTCAAAACCACATGTGGCATGGGGATAGGAAATGTATGCTGGAGACCATGTTCTTGGCTGCTAAAAACCCTTACAACTCCATTATCTTCTACTCTGAAATGCAAACCTTCTGTGCCAAGTAAATCTTTAAGTGAGTATGGTGTTCCTTTTTTTTTTTCTTTTTCCTGTTTAGCTCCTCCCAAACTTGTCCTCCATTTTATCCCTCTGGTGCCTGTGCAACTTCACAGCTGCTCAAGAATTGTGCATGTGTGTGACTGTAAGACAGAAAGGAGAACTCAGGAGGAAAAACAGCACTTTGGAAGTTAACAGGGAAGGGGAAGGAAAAGACAGATGTCTCTGTTCTCACTGGCTGTGTTGGACCTTCTGGGAAGCACAGTCTCCCTGTTATTTGAGTTACAGAAGCAGTCAGGAAGACTTGGATTTAGCTTTCAGTGGCTGTCAGGGTGAGAGGAATGGGATATGCCCAGACTGTGACAGTGAACTTGGAGGTTCTCCTGGGGCGGTGATAAAGGCCTGTCAGGGAGCCCTGGTGAAAAGGAGGGCCAGCACGGCTGGGTGATGGACAGCAGAACTGCACATCTCCCAGGGACTGCAGGAATGTTCCCTGGTACTGAGACAGGTGCTTCAGTGCCAGTGCTTGCACTTCTCTTTCATCACAGAATCATAATGGTGATCATCAGAGACCCCACAGACTTTCTCAATCAACACATTTAGTAAACAGAAGAGCCCTTTACAGAAACAGCAGAGTTTGCACTCTCTTGGAATGGGAAGACCTGGTTTCTTTGTATGTCTTTCACAAAGTCCCCCATACTCTGCGACAGTGTGTGTCTTTAGAGCAACTAATCTGCCACACATTCTACAAGGGAGGCTTTCTAAGGCATTCAAGTATTTTTGAGCCTCATAACCCTCATAATGAGCTCTGGTGAACGTGCTCATTAGCAATTAGATACAGGAGTATTAAAGCTGATATTTTAGTCCACTGTTTTTCAAGAACACGATGTATTTATTTGTTTTCCCTGATTGTTTCCATCCTGGCTTCTCCCACCTGCTGGAATTGGATGATGTAATAGCACAAAATGTCTGGTAATCCAGTGTGCTATCATCATGTTGTTAATAATCAATGTCAAGGGAACTTCTTGATATTCACAGTATTATTACTGGTCAGCATAATGTCTGTCTGATCAGCACACTCCTATCCACTGTCTGGAGGCAGAGGAGACACATAAAGGCTGTCCACTGGCAGTAGTGCTTGTCAGGGACTGCTGCCCTTCACTGGAAGGTGCCACAGGCACACCAGTAAGATTTTGCAATCCAATAAGAGTTTGTGCTGTGCTGCTGCCAAAAGCTGCTGGTTGTAGTGGTATTTATCATGTATTTATCATGCCCAGTGTGAAAGCAGAGAGATGAGGTGGGGGAGCAGCCTTCTGCACATTAGTTAACTAGTAAAATGAGAAACAAATGAGGAAGAAAGTAACAAACTACCTATTGCCTCTTTCCTGACTTTGGGAGATGCTCTTCCGATTGCTCGACTGAATCCTCTGTATGTCACTATATATATATGTTCTGCTGGCTTTAAAGCTCCTCTGCCAGATATACAGTAGTGCTCTGCATTGTTTTTTGTACAGCCCTAGATTTATTTACTACAATACATTATGGAATACTGTCCGTACACCAGCAAGTGGAAAATGGTGTTCTGAAGCAATATAAATTGTATGTTGCAAGGATCATGAGGCAGTAGATCACAGAGACACTGTCTGTGTGCATATGGCTGTAAATAAGTACAC